CAATGTGCTGGGTGGCTGCACGCTGGGAGGTGGGGGGGGGTCTTCTTGGTCCCGTGGGAACCAGCCAGCCCTGCCCTGGGAAGGGTGTCCCCCCCACCATGGGCTTTTTAGGGTGCTCTGCTGCCTCCCCACCCTTCAGCCTCTCTCTTTTACCCATCTCAGAGTGAGGGTGGGGGTCCCATGTCCTTGGGGGTAGGGAGGGGAGCCAGGTGTCTGGGCATCCCAAGTTCCCCCACCCCTGGGTTGCATGGGTTTTGCTTGGGTGGGGGTCCTTCCTAGGGTGCATGGGTGGGGGTCCCGTGTGTGTGGGTGCATGGGTTTTGCATGGGTGGAGGGGGTCCTCCCTCAGGTGCATGGGTGGGGGTCCCTCCCCAGGTGCGTGGGTGATGCTGAGCCCCCTAAACCCACTGGTAGGGGCTGAGGTTGAGGGTGCTGGGGACCCCCAGCCCACCCAGCACGGGTCCCAAACACCCTGCACCCAGGGGTGGGGGGCACCCACCACCAGCCCCTTCCCCTGGTCACCTCCTGGCTCTGCCTGTAACTCCCTTGGAACCCACTCCAGCCCCTCAACTCCAGCACATCCCAAACCCCCCCAGGACATGGGGACAGGGCTGGGGGACATAGCAGGGTGAGCCCAGGCCATGTCCCCGTGGCTGTGGGCTCTGGTTCTCCCCAGGATGGTGTGCGACGGGGGGGCGGGGGATGGAGCCGTGTCCCCTGCCCTGCTTGTCCCAGCACCCCTGGGTGCCACCTGGGTGGCTCCTGCCCACCTGAGGGTGTCACCAGGCTTTGTGAGATGGCCCTTGACGCTCATCCCTGATGTCCTTTGTTGTGAGGCTTTAGAGCTGCCGCCTTGTCTCTAATCCAGCCCCGAGCTGGGGCCCCTCAGGGGACATCTGCCAGGCTCAGGGCACCCAGCCAGCCTGTCCCCATCCACAGAGGGGTTCTGGTGGCTTCCCAGGGCACAGGGACATTGCACCCCACTCCTTCCAGCTCCAGGCTGGGGACGTTGTCCTGGTGGCACGTCCCACCTTGGTCAGGGGGACATCTGTGTCCCCAGAGGCACCAGGAGGATGGGGACAGCCCCAGCTCTGGGGTTGGCCCCTCCCGGGTAACCAGGCACCCTGGAAGTGGAGCCTGATGGGGAGAGATGGGCATAGGGTAGGACAGGGACCTGGTGACCCCAAGGTGTCCCAAGAGTCCCTGGTGCTCCCTGTGTCCCTCCACCCCTCCACCCATCCATCCATGGGGTGCAGGTCACTGCACCACCTCTCCTCCCAGGGCCACCCCAAAACCCTCTGAGCTCCCTCAAACTCTCCCTTCCTCCATGACTTGTGTCCTCCTTGATCCTCCAAGTGTCTCCTAAGGTCCATAACACCCCCCAACGCCCTTTCCTGGGGCTCCCCTTGCCCTGGGATGCCCCAGATGGCCACGGGCGCTGCTGGAGCTGGGGTGATGGATATCTGGGGTGTTGTCCTACCCCATCCTGGTGCTTCTGCTGAGAGGTTCCTCCCCCCCTGGCAGGTCTTCAGCACTTACTCCAACGAGGACTACGACCGCCGCAATGAAGACGTTGACCCCATGGCCGCGTCGGCCGAGTATGAGCTGGAGAAGAGGGTGGAGAGGCTCGACCTCTTCCCCGTGGAGCTGGAGAAAGGTGGGTCCTCACCCCATCCTGCACCGTGCAGGGGCTCCAGCAGCACCCTGGGGGACGGGTTGGAGGTGACACCCATCGAGGTGAGGCGGCCGGGACAAGGCTCTGTTGTCTCCTCAGACTCTGAAGGTTTGGGGATCAGCATCATTGGGATGGGAGCAGGGGCTGACATGGGCCTGGAGAAGTTGGGCATCTTCGTCAAGACGGTGACAGAGGGGGGGGCAGCCCACCGGGATGGCAGGTAAGGGTCACCCACCCCAAAAAACCTCCCCCCCCCACTTTGGGTCCCTGCTGTCACACACCTGCGGGCTTGGGCGGTGGTAGGGGAGCTGGTGTGGGGGCAGGCAGATGTTCCAGGGGTTCCTCGAGAGGGGGAG